TAAAAAGATTTTACTTTTAAGTGCTGTTTTAACAATGTGGCTAGACTATAAATGTACTTGCTGAATTCATCCATTTCTTTAACAAGCCAATAAAGTTTTATAATTCATCTCCATGTGTCCTGTGTTCTCTGCAGATCACACTCCCTCTCCTGCCCCCAAACACATATGGTCCCTGTGTCATTGGTGGGTTTTTTTTTGGGGGGGCTGAAGGTATTGGGGGGCTGAGACATGTCAATAAGGAGTTTTGGGGAGTCCCACCTACTGCAGGCTCTAGAACAAGTTATCACTTGGGGACAGCTTTCAGAGTTTCCATCAGCAAGAGTTACACATGCAAGAGGCATGGTTTGTGATTCTTACATTAGAATCACTTTGACTGGTTAAAAGGTATTGGGTACAGAGTACACAAGGAAGCTTTGTGGGGTTTTTTTTTCCAACTAAACTTTTATATTCTTAGAAAATACTTTTGATGTATTACCCCAGGAAGAAGGCACAAAGTGTCCAGTCAGTTTGTTCACTAAGCGACTCATGTCAGAGACAGAGAGAAGCTTGTACGGCACAGGACAGAGACCACAAGGACAGCAGTGACTGGAGAGACATGACCAGTTACGGCAGCAGAGAGTACACATGTCATATCCCCTTAGTTTCCATTACAGCCTCTTCAGACCATCCTGTCCTCATTTTTCACTTTGGCTACAGTTCAAAACTAAGATTTAAACAACTGCATCTTGGACTTATTTGATCCTACGACCACCTTCTGGTCACCCTGAAGGGGGCCACTGTAGGAGCATGGTGTTTAACTTGGGGTACATTTACCTTACAATTAAAGGGGAGTCTACCCAGGATTTAAAGGCTGCTGATGATAGTTAATGGGTGTTGATTTTGCAAATATGAGCCAAGCAGTGTTCCACAGGCTCTTCACAGCTCTGTGGAGCTTACCCAACAGCACAGTTTCTGTAGTTTAATGTGCTTCCCCTTTCTGGCCCTGGTCACTGAGCAGAGACTATTCTTCACCCCGGAGAGTAGTCAGGTTAACCAGTCACTGAGAAGGCATCTGCTCCCAGTTCTAGGAAGCCCCCAGGTGTTGTGTCACTCAAGAAGCCCTTGTGGATCTTGGCACGTGAGTGAGTGTGGGGCTGGAAGTGACACTAGCACCTGCTTCTCAGCTTTTACCTGAAGCAGGGTGCATCAGGAGGTTCCGGTGCCAATCGCCTCATGAGAACCCAGACCCTGTTTGCACTGTGAGTTGTACGCTGGCGGATTTGTAGTTTTGATCAATGTCATCCAGTGCCTTTGCTCATCTCCCTTGACTTCCAACCCTTCTCATCCCCCTGGGGTTGTTTCACTATCTAATGAGTGATCCTAAGAGAGATCTGCACAGCAGGGCTAGGGTGTGGTGGGACAGGATGTTAAAGGACACATATCCAGCTACCTCCACGCACAGAGTCCAGACAGCAGAACAAAGTGTCACAAAGGTCTGAGTTGGCCTTGGCTTGCAGCACCAAGACACGGAGTGGTCTCGACATGGAGCGGTCTCCAAGCCTGTGGTCACATGGAGTCCTCCCCTCCCCCTTCTGGCAGCCCAGGATTGGGAGAGACTGCCAAGGGCATATGCTAATTTTCCAGTCATCTGGTCAAGTCCATCTTACGTGACACAAGATCTCAGAGCCTGTGTTTACTGAATTAAAATCTCCGCCCAACCACAAACTAACAAGCAGTAAGCTTTTCCCTTCCTTCTGATATTTTTATTATGTTTCCAAGGAGGGCCTAAGAAAACAACTCCTGTGTTTATTTTCCAGCCTTTTATCTCTTTTTAATAATCCTCATCAAACTGTAATCAGTTCTGAAGCACTGTTTAATAAAAATGTAGGCCGTGCCGTTTGCCGTGGAGAATAGAACTCATTCTCAGGTAAGTTTGCGAAGCTGCAGCCAACACCCTGGTGTCAGGGGGGAAACACCATTCTGCCTTCCTATGGAGACCAAAACACAGCCTCCTAAGATGCTTCACACTTTTCAAGAAAGACTCCCTAAACAGGTGTTTATTGTGCACTGATGTCGGGGTCCTTGATTTGGGGCTGTCCCATTGCCTCTCCATCATGTGTCCAAGTACATGGCATTCTACATCGAACATGTGTTGCCCTCCCAGGTCTAGGTAGAGAAAGGTGCCTGGACATGCCTGTCAACTCTGTGTGTGGAAGAATCGCTCTACCAGGAACAATCTAGAGGCCTGGTGGAGTTTCTACACTGCTCCAGCCTTTCCAGGACTTGGTTCTTCTAGTGTTCAGTCATCGTTAGAGGTCGTAAAAGCTTCCCACTGTCATCATTCTCTGTGTCTCATTCTCATTCCCTTAACTCACTGGCACTTCTCCTCTGGGTACCTACCTATATCTTGTTTAAGGCGCAAGGGTAAGGCCATGTGCCTCAGTGGGACAGTGGTAACTAGAACACACCCTGGCTGAGTTCTTTGTTTGATTGTTACATCGGGGCTATTCAAGACCTAGGGTATTTTGCTGTGTCAAAATCACGTGAGACACTAAGGTCCGCTCTGGGCGACACCGGAATCTACCAAGCAGGTGTCACCCTTGTCCTCAGAGGTGACAGTATGTGTGATGTTTATAATCTGTTGCTTTGGTTTCCATGATTTACATGAGAGGGAACTTGCTAGGTCCCAGGTGAGACTGTAGTCTGTGAAGCCCTGCTCTGCCCCCGCCCTCTCTCAGAAAGCTGAAGCTCATCCTTCAGTGGCTGAGTCCATCTTACCTCTGTATAACCGGATTGTGAGGTGCCTCCACCCGCTTAGCTAATTCCTTCCCCCACACCTTTATCTTTCTTAGGAAATGTTTTGCTCTACTTAACTCTCATTCTGTTTCTGTCCAGCACTCACACCCCAAATACGCTCCTTCATCTTTTCTTTAATTCTTTTTATGTATTAAAACTTTTAAATTGGTTGGATGGAATCATGAGTGGTGGTGATCTGTGTATGAGGAAAAAAGAGAGAGAAATGAAGACGAATGAGAGCACAGTAGTGCACACTTGCAAAGATGCACACACGCGCACACACACACGCATGTACACTCTACATACTTCCAGTCTTCTTTGACTATGTTGGATTTAATAACGGTGCATAGATCATTCCACCTAATTATCTTCACAGAGCTCACTGCTCGTAATGCTCCCAGATGGTTAAAATAATAAAATAAAAACTGTCCCATGTCATATTTTTTTTTTTACTTTTTGTTTTTACTTTCTTATAAATAGCCAGAAATTTTGCTGAGAAGAAAATATTATAAATCCCACAAGGTTGGTGTTCTGTTCTGGGTTCCAAAGTGTAGAGATTGAGTGGATTTCAAATTTGGCAAGCCCTCTGGCTTGGCAGACACTCTTGTCCTTATTTATGGCTGCTTGGAAACTTCCACTTCCCGGGGCTTATAAATGATGCTGCCGATTTCGTCTCCCTTTCCTATCTTGATGTGAGTTATGAAATAACCAGCCTGAAGACTTCTTTTTAACGTTAACCCTTGTGTCTTGGTATGAGACACATTTCGTACATTAAAGTCCACTTTCCATTTGGTGTCACCTGACAAAATGAAAAACTGGAAATGGTGAGGGTTAAGACAGAGGATGCTAACAGCCTTCATTGTGGTCACGAAGGATTTACCTATCAGAAGTCCTCCAGTGACGACCCACCACCTCCTACACGCAGACTTGAAGACAGAAGACACAGTCTCTCGGAGAGCTTTCCTAACGGCATGAACAGGTGATGAGCTCTCTCCAGTCCCATTCTCTGGAGAAACAACTAAGAGATTCTCTTCCTCTTCCTCTTCTTGCCTCTCTTTTCCTCTTCCTCCTTCTCTTAATCCCTTCCTCAGTTCTGTGAGACCAACTCTGTCGTTTGTTCTTTTTAGGGGCCTGTTCATCTGGCGTGAGCAGGTTGAAGCAGGAGTCTCTGGAATGGGCGGAGCCTCCTGAATGGGCAGAGTCTCTGTGGTAGGGCGGAGCCTCTGTGATGGGCGGAGCAGATAGATTTGCTGAGCACACACAATAGGCATTTCTTACTATTTATTGCCTTTGGTTTTTGTTTTGTTTTGTTTTGTTGTTACTCTAAACCCCAGGATAGCTTGCAGCTCACAGCCATCCACTCATGTTCCCCTCAGGCATGCTGGCATTGCAGGCATGAAACACTACATCTGGCCTGATAATGAACACTTTCAAAGAGCAAATGTGCCTCCTCTGAGGCTGACACTAAGATACAGTTGGATCCGTTAGGATTTTCACCAGGAGAGGAGAGGGAGAATGGGAAGCCAAGGAGATCTGCAAGAGGCCCAGACTGAAAGCTAAGAAAGCCTCTCAGAGCCTGAGGAGGGCATGACAGGTTAAGCCACTGGGTAGCCTTCACTAAGACAGTGTCTCCAGGACTGTTGGGGAGTTTCTGAGCTACAGATGAGTTGACTGAGGAGTTCCTTGTTTCCCAGGATAACCCTTTCCTCTTTTCCCTGTCCCTCGTAGTAGTAGTGGTTACTGGCACTGAAGTGGCCCGGGCAAAGCTCAGACTCTGTAGATAACGGATAGGTGACAGAGCACAGCTCCTCAGACCTTTGTCAGACGTTCTGTTACTGGGACCTGTGAGAGATACCCTTGCGGCTCTTCTGTTGAGGATGCTGACTTATCTGAGCCCCACTTCACAGATGAGCTAGTTACCTATAGCTCTCATGTCTCCTGTGAGGCACATATGACCTCAGGATAGCACCTACATCCTCCATGCTGGACCATTGGTCCCAGTGTGCCCAGGGACCCCCCTGCTTCCTTCAGTGATCCACCGTCAAATTCAGTGCTTACAAGAGCTTAACCAAAGTCATTCTGCACCACATGTGCAGTCTCGAAAAGTTCTGTTTGAACTGTTCGAGGTGCCAGTTTTGAGCTGTAGCCACCCTTTTGTTTACAATTCCCTGATATGACTAGCACACTGAGAGCCGTTTCTGTTTTGCCTGCCTCCGTGCTGAAACCACAAGTGCTTTCCTTTCAATTTTGTGTTTCTCATCAAACGAGTTTCCTATTGAAGCTGCCCCTGCTATTGATTCGTGTTCTTTCAGGAGAGTGTCTACGGAGATATATATCATCAATACCTTGCCAGGTGGGTAAAAGAGGGGAAGAACAGAGCTATACATCTTCTTAGACAATAACCCTGCTGCCCTGCAGCAGACCTCCCTCCAGTGGATTGTTCTAATAAGAAATGATGCCTTATTCAGAGTCTATAAACTAGATTGAATGCTTTCTATGTGCTAGAATGTTGGCTGTAGACTCAAAGAGCTTCAGAGACTTGGAGGAATCCTGGACATATGTAAATGACCAGTAAAGACTGACTCAGCATGTGAATGACCAGTAAAGAATGACTCAGCACATAGGACAGAGCTATTCCAGCCTTGGTCCTAATTTCTGTATTGGAATACAGGCTTGGGGAAAATAAATTCTTTTTTTTTTCAAGCTAAAGGGAAATCTGGGATTTGGTGTGAGCTTTCCCAGTTTCTAAATGTTGGAAAGGCCCACGACTTTTTTTTTTAAATCCCCAGCAGCCAAGCAAAACAGTCTGTATGCCCAATCATGGTTGTTGTGACTTGGCTGGACCATCAGCCTGTGTCCTTCAGGCTAAGTGCCCTGCCCACAGTATGAGTGGATAGACGTGTGTCAGGTTGGCCGTCTTAAAGCTGATGCTGAGACAGGGAGTCCATGGTGGTGCTGTATTAGAGCTAGCCTGGGGAAAGAAATAGGGAACTGGCCCAGAGAAATGGGATGTGATGTAAGACAGACAGTTTGTGGTGGTGGCTCTGACCTGACTATCTGGGCATTTACATGCTGGGATATAAGCTCCCTCTCGGGGCTTCCTTAGCTAGGGAGTGAGTATGTCTGGGTGCTTGCCTGACAGTAGCTGTGTGTTGCAATAGGTAGGACAGCTATGTGGCTCTGGGGCAGAAAAGACACACAAATGAGCCCTGGCCATGGGCAGGGACAACAACACAGCAATAGTGGGGCTGAGGGGTTAAGCATAGCCCCAACCCAGAAATTCATGACTTTCCAAAGTCCGTAGGATAACAACAGGTCATGGCGTCTGAATTTGTAACCAGTGTTTGCCTATGTCTTCTCTAGCGTCTTCTTCCTCTTCTTCCTCCACCTCTTCCTCCTCTTCCTCTTCTTTTCCTTCTCCTCCTCTTCCTCCTTCTCCTCTACCTCCTCCTCTTCCTCCTCTTCCTTCTTTTCTTCCACTTTCCTCCTTTCCTTCCTTCTTTCCCTCCTCCTCCCTTCCTCTTCTTCCTCATTCCTCCTCCTTCTTTTTCTCCTTTCTTCTTTTTTTCTCATCTTCCTCCTTCCTTCTTCTCCTCCTCCCTTTCCTCTCTTCCTGTTTCTCCTCCTCTTTCTTCTTCAAGAATCTCACATAGCCCAGACTGGCCTCCAGTGTGTCATGTACCTGGGGGTAATCTTGAACTCTTAATCCTTCCTCATCTATCTCCCAATGTTTGCTTATGCACTAGTGATGAAACTTAGGGCTTTGAGTGAGCACTCCATCAACTGAACAATCAGCTTCTTAATGAGATAAACACACAGAGTCAGATCATTCTGGACCCTGATTATTGGTGTGTTAACCTCAGACTCTCACCCTCTGCAGTTAGGAGAGCATGAAGAGAGGGCACTCTGGATGTTGAAGGGAGGCAGGGGGAGCCCAATGGGACCTAAAAGAGTCCATAGGGCTATTAGCACCCCAGACAGCCCTGTATAGACTCCCAGGAAAGCTTGTGGTAACTACCATTCTCGGTTGCTTTTCTATGAATTTGAAATGTCAAATCCATGATTCAAGCACTGTTTCTCTGTGCACGTACCCCAATTCAAGCAATGTTTCCCAGTGCTGTGAACCGCAGGGCTGAACTTGTGAGGAGAGGTCCTCTGGCCATGGAGACTAGCAATCTCCAAGTTTCCCCAGCATGCTAGCAGCTTCTGAGTTTAAACCTCTTCAATATGTAAATGAAAGTTCTGCCTTCTAGCTGGCAACCAATTTCCCTGGGAGGAAGTCCACCTGAGGTCAGGAGAGAAGACAGGAGCTGCACCATTGTCTGCCATCTGAGCATCTGCTAACCCACTCCTCTGGGTCAGCCAGGATGGCTTACTCTCCTTCAACTCTAGAGAAAGTTTCCTTTCTGGTGTCCTTCGAACCTCTCCCGCCTTCCCCACTCCCAAACTTCCATTTTCTCCATGATGCCTGCATTTGGGAGTGGAACTCCTCTTCTGACCCCCTTTCTTTCCCATTCACTGAGCCCACAGTGACCTCCTAAAATGTAGAACTGAGTGCAGACCAGAGCATTCACATGCCCTCGGCGCAGCGATTTGCAAATGTAACTAGATCAACTCCAAGTGCATTGATACTGTTTCAACAGACTGCTTTGTTTATATCTATGAGCATTTTGCCTGCCTGTGTGTTTGGTGCACCGTGTGAGTTTCTGGTGTCTGCAGGTGTCAGAAGAGGGCATCAGCTCCCCTAAAAGTTACAAATGGTTGTGAGTCACTGTGTGGGTTCTGGAAACTGAACCCAGGTCCATGGCAGGAGCAACCAATGGTCCCGGCTACTGAGCTATCTCTCAAGTGTTTATGTCCCCCACAAAGTCCCGCCCAGCTCTGCTGTTTCAGTTTTCAGTGCTGAACACCCAGGCAGGCTTGACTCTTCCCGTCTCCACCCTCCCTGATTCTCCATGTCTAAGATTTCTTTTCCATAAAAGGAGGTAGCGAATATCTGGGTGACCTGCTGGGTGACCTGCTGGGTGACCAGGAGAATTAAGTAAGCATTGGTCTGCTGAGCCACCTGGAAGCATGTGACGGACGGCTGCCTCTCAGGAACTGCAGTAGAGTTCCACACCGTGCATGTCTGATCACTTGGCAACCAGAGGCCAGGCCCTCTGCATCTCCAGTTAGCCGAGTGGCTAATAAACACACCTTGCTCCATGCCATCCTAGCGTGAGGGTTGAAATGAAAGAAATGAAGCCTAGGTGAGCCCTCAGCTCGATCACTTTGGTTACGATGTGGTGTCGGGCTGTAGAAAGGCATCTTGGGTTGGCACGGGCCTGGAACCCCAAGACTACAGGTGTTTGGCCACGCCCCCAGAACCTAGGGCCCTGACACACTGTCTCATCTCCATTTAACCTGTATGGTCAGTACATAAGACACAGGTAGAGGGGGTGACTAACAGGCCTACGCCTCGAGATTTACATATTAATGAGTTATCTAAAGACTGGGGGACATAGCTAATTAAGTTATCCCTTCCCTAGTCCCTCCTCTTTTCCACTCCCCATATAAGCTAGCTCTCCCCGTGCTATGGGGGGGGGGGGGAGGGTGCACTAACATCCAGATCCAACTACCATCATGAACAATAAAACTTTTATCTCTTGGACTCCATGTGTCTTCTGGGCCCGGGACTTTCTTGTGTATGTGGGAACCTGCCCACCGGGAAAGCCTCCAGGACTCCTCCGCTGCTGTTCCGGGACTCTGCTGCTGCCGCATCCCTGCGGTCCATGGGAGGCCTGGGCCGACCCCCACCCCCACCCCGCGCGTGTCTTTTACCCACAGCGTGGGAACGTTTGTGGCTGAGGCCGTGTGGGACCTCAGCCTGAGAGACTCGAGTAGAAACGAGAATTTTCTCAGCTCAGAGGTCACAAAAAGAGCAGGTTTTAAGAACCCAAGTGAAACCAAATCTGGTTAAAGAGCAATCCAAACAATGATTTTTTCCCCTTGGTGGGGGGAGTCGTTTCTGACACATGAGTAGCAGTACCTTCAAGTTTGTTCTCCAGGGTTATAGTAGCATATGGTCACAATCTTCACTAGAAACTTCTTTCTCCATTGTGGAGCTCAGAAGCTGAAATTAAGGTCTTGGTGGTGTTGGCTTCTTCTAAGATCTAGGAGTTCTCCTGGCTTTGGTTACTGCTGGCAATTGTTGGCATTCCCTGGCTTATAGTCACAACGCTACATTCTCTTGATCTGCTCTCATGTCATTCTCTCAAGGATTCTTTTAGGAATGATTTGTCATTGGGCTTAGGAAAAGTTTTAGAGCAATTTTCTTCTGAATAGATCACTATGACATGTCCCATGTATAAATGTTGGAAGCATCTTTCCGGACACCACTGTCAACACACAGACCACCTGAGTGTCTTCACATGGTGGAGTGCATAAGATCTGAAACCCCTACGTCATCCCAGGTATCTTGGAAGATTATTTTATACAGTGTCACACCTCTATTGTGTGTGATGGGGACATACTTTAAAGGAGCTCCAGTCTGGGAGACTGAGTGTAACAGTCTTTGAAGGATGTGAGAGAGCTGCTGCTCTCTTCAGTGGTCTACACGTGTGGCCATCAGAGCAGACTCTGTAGAAATTCACACTGAGAAGGAATAGACATGGCCCGCCTCACAGTGCAGCACAAAGCCAAGGAGAAAAATGGTTGTAGAGACCAGGCAGGTGGCAGAGTGGACTCCAGGAGAGATGGCCATTCCCCAAGCATCCGTCCATGTGCCCAGCTGCTCTTCTTCAAGTCCTGACTGTGTCCTGGGCCCAGAGGTGTGCATGACAGTCCTGTCTGCATGGAGCTTCTTTTTTTAGACCTCAGTTCCAGCTCTAGTTGTCTGGAATCCAGGGGATTGCTTTTCACCTGCTTTTCAAAGAGAAGCTATTAGGTTTTGTGTGAAATGTGATGTTTTAAAATGTTGGCAGTCAACTCACATTTGGAAGAGAAAGTTACAGGCCTGGCAAGAGTTACTGCCCTCAGGCAAGCTGCCTATGACCTTGGGGTGGAGTGCCATGACCTTGATCTTCAGAAGATATTTCCCTAATGTCTGGGTTTTAAGCTAATTGCTATTTTCCCTGACTTCACTGGAAGCTGCTGATGGTTTTGTCTTTCTGGGCTCGATGCACTAACTTCAGCCTTCTAGCCTGTTCTCTCCAAGTCCAGCCCTCAAATCTCTGATTACTTCTCCATGTTATTTGAGTTCTAGGCATCATGAGATTCCCCAGTCTTTCTTCTCTGGGGAGTCAGAATCTAATCAACCCTCATCCCAACTCTTTGTAGAGATCAGCACTGTTTTCTGACTCCAGTGACCCAAAG